GTTGCACTATTTTCTCTATCCACCCCCGTTTGTGCCTCTTTCTTTTCCCCCCTTGAAAGTCTCTTTTAATTGTCCCATTGCCACAGTGCTTGTCAAAACCAGTTGTGATTAATCTCCTTTGTCAGTGTATCCTTTGCCATTCCCTATCACTCCTCCCTGAGAGAGATTTTACCCTGATTCATAAGGAAAAGGGGACAGCATATTCTCTTAGCTACTTCCTCCTGAAAAGGGACGCTGTAGGTTTCAGGGTGAAGATCTTCTCTCACTAATCTAAAGGGCTCCTTTGACAATAGGAAACACGTAGACTCTTGTGGAGATTAATTTTGGAATTTAGATGCACTGTTATCAATTGTGCTTAGCCATACATGTTCATATCCTTGAAAATGCATCATGGAATCATTGTAGCCTAGAAGACACAAATTTAACAAGTTAAAAGTACATGAGTCAAAAATTAAAAGCAATAATATTTCAAGTAGAGGTTCTAACAGTGGCACAAATCAAGTTACAGAGGGAAGGTAGTTCTTAAAACAGAAGGCTTATTGACTAGCACTTTGTCTATCATAGTATAAAGGTTAGGAACCACAAGATGTAGAGGCTTAACTATGTCATTTATTGTTCTTAAGTCCTGGAGCAAATTCCATCTACCCCTGGGTTGTTTTACAGCTCGGAAGTCCACATGCAAGCATTTGTCTGTTTTTCAAGGGACAGGCATCTCTTTGGATTTCCAAAGAAAAGAGGTTAAGGTCCTTCTGTGTTCTGATGGAGCCCCTCAGACTATGACCTTCAGTCGCCCTTTAAGCCTGAGACTGAACTCACCTTTGTGGTACAACTTTCAGCCAACCAGCAAGCCCGTGACATGATGGGTATCATTAGGGAGACATGGGCTCCTTAGATTCACCAGTCACAGCTGACCATACATTGGGTTTCCAAGGATGTAAATCACACAGAAGAAGACTGCCCGTCTTTATTCTGTGGAGTTACTGGTAGATTCAGGCTTCCAGAGAAGCATGGCCTTCAGGTGAGGAGCGCATTCCCCATAGTTCCTAACAGTGGCTAATTCACAGCAGTAGATTTCCAGGCCTTTCCTCCTTGTCTCCCTTAGTCCGCAAGCTCTAAGAAAGCTTTCCACCCTGGGTGACCCTGCTGGTGCTTAAAATGCAGACAGCATAGCGTCCAGCGACAAGCAAGCCACCACCGTATGACAACTGACAAATGGATAGTGGGAATACTCTTTTTTTGAAAAAATTTTTTTATTTTATTTCATTACATTTTGTGTGTACCATCAAATCAGATCTGACTGATACAGGAGGAGATTGTTCCTCCTGCTCCAGCAGAGCATCTGGTGGATTCGAACCGTGTACCTCTGAGATTGCAGTGCAGCTTCTCGCCACTAGGCGGGAATACTCTTTAAGGAGAGATGTAGTGAAGGACAGTTTGAGGGACAGGCACTAAAATATAAAATGCAAATCTTACTTAACCCAGAAGGACCTCTCATGGCCTAGTGGTAAGTAGCTATGCTGGAATCCCAAAGGCAAGTGGTTCAAATCTACTAGCTGCTCCACAGGAGAAAGATGGACAATCACCCGTGTAACTACCTCTGAAATCCTGCTGGAGGGTCAGCTATGAGTCATTTCCAACTCAGAGACACACAGTAACAACAACAATTATTGAATCCAGCAATTTTGTTTGTAGGAATATGTCTCATGGAGTTAAGAATGCAAGTAAATATTCTCAAGTCCTTTTTGAGTACTCTTATCTAGAGAGTAGGTTTAGTGGCTGCAATATAAATTTCCATGCATCAAAAAAAATTGCTGTCCGTTGAATTCTGACTGTTTGCAACCTTATAGATAGCCCATGGCAGAAGAAA